CCCCCCGCCCCTTGGCAGCGTGCCAAGGGTGTCTGGTGGCGGGGCAGACAGTCCCTGCCCCTCCTCCTCAGACCTGGTGCTTGGAGCTTCGGCTGACAGCATTGCGAGGGACCGGAAAATGGTCTGCTGCCTTTTCTCGGGGACACTCAAGTCCCCCGCACAGAAATGGGTCAATTCAGGGGCTGGCAGGCCTCAGGTGCAGTGTGGTGGGTTGAGCCTGGGGGAGGAGTCGGTAATTCTAGAGCTTTTCCTTCTAACCTCTTCCACTTGGTCCAACGCCACGAGCTTAGCTTTTGGAGGCAGACAGGCCTTCGTGGCCACATGACATTGGGCAACTTCCTCGGTCACTCTGAGCTTCCCGTTCAGCCCTTGTAAATGGAATTCTGTAGACGTGTGGGAATATTGCCCCCTGGGTCTAAGCGGAAGCTGTGCCTCTCCCCAGGAGGTGAGGCTGTTCATTGGCCAGCTCACCACTGGTACCCCGTCAGGGATCCCCACACGCTTAGTGTGGGGTTCCTAGCCACACGTTCGAAGATCCACCCTAGGATCTTTCAGAGAGGTCTTGGCAAATCTTGGCTTCAGCTAGGAATCTCCAGTTCCCCCCGCTCCACAGAGATAACAGCAAAGTTCCAGATATCAGCTCACACTTAAAAAAAAGTGGCTCAACATTCTAAATTCACCTGGGAAAACATTGATCCACGGAAAAGGTCAATTTGCTCCAGGCGGGCAATGGTCAGCAATAAAAATTTGCTAAACCTCTTGGGTTCTTTTTGGTAAAAGGAGGGGACGCTTTCCCCTCCCTCGCTGAGATACCTGACTCATTCTTCAGGACGAAGGAAGCAGCTGTGTCTAATGCTCATTCAGGTTTAGGGTCAGCACAGGGTTTCATGGACGTGAGATGCCAGGTACACAGACATGAAATGGGCCTGAGATGACGATGCTGGGCACACGGTAGAACACAGTCCCCACGGCGTTGCACCCGGGGCCTTCGCTGGCCTTCCAGAACATCAGCAAACAGTTCAGCATTAACGAAGCTCACCGTGCAATCTGTCTCAGAGCTGCACCAGCCTCATCATTCCCGCCCCCACTCTCATTCTATAAAATCTAATTAGTGAAAGGGCAATTCAAAGGAAACTTTTACTGGGAGATTTAGAAGTGTTAAAGCAAAGGAAGAAACGCAAACCCCTCCTGCAGCTCTCCGGGTGCACGGGGACAGTTATTGACAACCCGGGTGGGGTGGGGGAGGGGGAGCATGGCCGCGTGAGTTCCCTCACGATCCACGTTTCCACGGTGAATCGGAGCCGAGCAGGAACACTGGGGCACTGGGTGGAGAACGGCTTTGGCCAGGCCTCCGACGGGCACCTAACGTTTCCCGGGATGAAAACACGTGTGCGCCTTCCCTGCAGGCTGACGGGTCCCCGTGGGGGACATGTCGCCTGTTCCATGGTCTGCGAACTAAATCAAAGCAGAGATGAGTTTTTAACTCGGTGGTGAAGGCAATGCTCCTTAGAAGAGCAAACAAGGAAGTGCGGGCTATGGCTGCAAATCGAGTAAGTGGGGGGGGAGGGGCGATCGAACACCCCCGTCCCTATTCTATGCTTCCTGTGCACAATAGACCATCAGGCAGCGATGCAGGGACATGATGTGTGCCTGGTTCACAAACCGTTCCTCTCTCTCTCCTTGTGTCGCTCTCTAAAGAGACACTGTGATGTATTAAAAAAATTCCAAGTTTTTTGAAATGGTGTTTCCTGCTGTGATCTTTCCTCGAAATGAGTGGTCTGCCTTCAGCTGTGGGCCCGTCTGCTTGCTGAAGGGATCAGCACCCACACACACCTACCGGCACATCCGGCCGACTCTTGTTGCTCTGTTTGTGCTCCTTATATTACACTGTTAACACAATTAGCGACACCACGTGCTTCTCAGGACAGAGGATCAGAATATATGTTAGAGGGTGACAATCAGTGGATCCCTTTAACAAAGACACCCACGCCAAACCAACCATCAGTCTGGATCATCAGCATCAACAAATGTTTACTTGGATAAAACAGAGAGTGCTTACTTCTAAGTGCATGACACATTTTATAAAAAAAAAAGAAAAAAGAGGAGGAAGAGGAAGAGGAAGAAACCCGAATGAATTACTGCTACATCAGGTAACCAGAGGTCATGAGACTAAAACGCTGCAGATCTATTTTGGGACTCACTAATTTGGGGCTGACAATGTCACCAGTGTTTTCTCAGCCACGGCCAACGCACTTCGAGAGGATTCCGTTTTAAGCCCGGTGCCTTTGGGATGACTGGAAAACCTAGTTCCTCGCGGACAGACAACAGCAGGTCCAAATGACCTGAATGAGAAATTTGCTTCAAAAACTTCGAGCGGATGATCGGAAAGGATGACCACTCTGTCCGTGCACTTGAACCTGACTTAATACAGGCATTGACAGCTTGAGATCTATACTGAAATCTATTAGGGCTCCAAAATCGTTAGTCCCTGTATGTATGCGAACTTACGGTTACACGCATCGATCACTTACGTCGATGACAGATCATTCACTTCCCCTGAGATGCGCTGGGACCAGGGCTCTCCCGAGTGTTACATCCACTGTAACGGCATCTTTCTAAGTACCTGGCGGAACTGTGTCCACTGATTCCTTCTATGGGATAAGGGAAAAGCCTTGGCCAAGCTGTGCACCTGGGTATAGCTGGGACATCCCCTTCCTGTGCCCCCCAGAGTGGGCAGTGAGTCATCATCGATGCATGAATTCTTGCTCTTTGCAGGGGAAAGTCACCCCCGGGGCATGACTAGGAGCCCACAAAGGACGTGCGAATGCCATGAAAGCAACCCGGAGACACCACCCCGTTGGATGGTTTTATCGCAAACCGGTTGACCTGAAAGCCAGGCAATGGGCAAGCTAGTCCTGTGCGACCCCGGGTGACCCCCGGCAGCTCTTACATCCCGTTTGCTGGAGAAATCCAAGCAACACCCACTTACTCCAAGCAGACAGCCGGAGGGGTCGTGGAGGCAGGGTGTGAGCGAGCTATCGCTTTATTTGTGAAAGGGTTTTGGTTAGGTATGAAGGAGCTCAGTTTCCCCAGGTTCCTGACAATAAAGGTTAAAGCGTTTTCCAAAGGCGCAACGAAGCATCCTCTCGGGTCACCAGTGGCTTCCAAGTAAAACAGAGCGCAGTGACACTGGCGTTTCCTGACTCCGTGTGTAAAAGGTCAACATCTGCTGATGCTCAGAGATGAGGCATGAGGTGGAGGCGGCCGGATGGGATGTCGAGTGAGCAGTACAGTTAGGGGTCCATGCAGCGCGCGACCGACACGCCCAACAGAGACACACGGAGCCGCCAGAGAACCACTTTCCACCCATCCATTTCTGAAACCCTGGGAGGCGGCGGATCGCCTGCGCAGCCCCGGCTACCCGCCTTGGCTGGCTTCCTTCGGGCTCCCTGTCGCTCTCAGATGCACCTGCAAATGCGACTCTGCCCAGGCCTGAAAGGAGCACGTGGTGGGGTGTCTCTCCAGTTAGGTCAAGGCCAAGGGAGACACTGAAGCGGGAAATCAGACTCTTCAAGCTGAGAGCCATTGCACTGGCAGTTTGTAGCACAGATAGAGGGGGCTGAGGGAGCATGGGGCTCTCTCTAGTGGGAGAGAATGCTACTTCTGTTTACAAAGCCGCCGACTCACGGCATTTAACTCATCCAGCGCTTAACAAATCTGCAGCCGGGCCTGCTCACGAGCTGAAGCAAACTGGGCTGATTTATAAATTGGAATGCCTGACTGTGCATTTATAAGACTTGGGGAAGTATTTTTTTTGTCCAGATGATACTGAGCTGGCTACTGGGGAGGGTCACGCTCCGGCTGCCCCCCTGCAGTCCCGCGTGGGTGGTGTGGCACAGCCCAGACAACAAGCCTGTAATGAGGGGGCGGTGCACACTGAAAATTCTCCTCTTCACTGACAGTGCGCATCTTGGCTGCCTGGGGACTTTCTCCCCAATCAGTTATTCGGCAATCTCACAAAGGCGTTAGCCATCAGAGAGGGCGAGATGCGTAGAAATATGTGAGACTCTGCTCCAAAAAGTTCTGGGGCCATGCCCTTAAGGAGCTGTTCAGGCTAATGTCGGGGTGTTCCGGTTTGATATGCAAAGAGGGAGAAGCCACAGTCGGATGCTCCCATAATAGATGGAAACAACGCTCTCTGCGACTGTGCTGCTGGACTAGTGTTCCACAGAGGGTGGGAGAGGCACTGTGCTTTTCTAGTTCCACTAGGAGGTTTCTTGCAGAAATTTCTAGTAGGCCGACTTAAATTCTGCATGTATTTTTTTAAAATCTTTCTTCTCTAGCAAATGTAAACCTAAGTCATCAGCAAAACATGGATCCCTGTACTTTAGGAGACAGAATCAGACGGACTGATTGGTTTTCTCCTTCCTTTCTCCAGAAAGACCAATGATCACAAACCTGCTTGCTTCTTTCAGGCCTTCAGAAAGACTGAACTTAACGCATTAATAAAATTCCCTCCCCCTTGGTTTCGTGGTGTTTTCCTTGGATTCTAATGAGTACGCCTGGAGCAGTCACTGGCATCCCATCTCTGCTGTTCTAAATCCTGGTAGAAATCCATATCCAGTCCTGGGGACAGAGTTCAATATGTCTGTCGGTGACTGAGTGTGGGCAACAGAGGGCTGGTTTTATTTTTGCTAAATGAGCTGGGGTGCCCTCAACAATTGCACCTCTGTGAAGGTAGCTTTCATGGATCCACAGGAGTCGGGAAAACCTTGACCGTGCCTCATCGAGACAAGAATTCTCGGTGGATGGCCATTGTGTCTGTGACCCCATCACATCTGTGCAGAGAACAAACACAACCACCCAAGCCGCCAAGGAAATACTCGTATCAGAAATGGATATCGGGAAAGCAGATCTGAGGGGCCGAACGACAAAGCAAAGCTAGTCTAGACTGGGTTGGGTGATTGGTGTTTCTTTTTTTGCGTTGTTTTTTTACTTACTACCAATACTGGAAATACTGGGGATACCTAGAGAAAAAGAGAGAGAAAAAAAGAAAAGCTGTTAGACATTGGTTAGTACATGACGTCTTCAATTCAATATAAAAGTCTCGGAAACTTAACACCTGCTAACATTCGGGTCACCCGGAGAAAACAGCATTTCCGTCCACCCATTGGAACTGTTTCGCTTTCGGTGCACAGCTCTGGAACCCCTGGGAGTCAGGGCATGAAAGCTCAGCTTCAACAACCGGCTCAAGACGACTTCCTGACATTGAACATTTTGTGTTTGCCCAGGAGGTAATGAAACATTTCAAAAGACGTATTCAGCGAGGCTCATGTTCCGGGCACAGAGCACCAAACAGACACAACGTGGACCTCTGCAAATATATCCCCATAACGCAACAGCTCCCTTTAAATGCATGGTGAGGGCCATGTGTGGGCGGACGACAGTCATGTGGCATGTAACTTGATTAATTTCACATGAGCACCATTTTTTTACTCCTCTTTTACTTGTCAGATACGTGGATTCAACTCTGTAATAGAAACTTAATTGAGCAGAATAATTCAAGAATGCATGAAGTTGTTCATATTGATCATGCGCTTCATCGATTTTTCAGTTTCCACTTCATTTCTTGGTGGGGCTAAGGTGGCGGGACTGTTTCCGAATGCACTGGCCTTGGTGTAGCTGAGGGCACGCACCTAGTGTGCACCCAGAGGAAAGCTCCGGGCCAGGAGCAGAGGCACCAGGCTGTCTGCGCTGGGAGCTTTGCTCTTGCCCTCACAGCCTGTGCGACCTGGGGGCCGGTTGCTGAGGGTCTCCGTGGTTCCGTTTCCTGCCTCTCAACGTCACTGCAAGGATTAGGGAAATCGGCACGTGTAAAGCACTGGGCACTCAGGCTAGGCAGGTAGCACGTGCTAGATCCCTCTTTGCTGTGGTGACTACTCTCGATGCCGTTGGTTCATCAAGCAAGCAACCCGTGATAGAGATTGCTCGTTGACAGTCAGAGAGGCATAGCTTCTCCACGAATCTGGGTTGAGGGTAGGAGACGGGAATCAGAAGGAGAGACAGGCCTGCTGTGCAACCGGCTAGCTCGGGGGGGAGGGACTTCCGAGAAGTTCCCGGCTTCTCTGTACCCGTCTGCTCACCTGCAAAAGGGCTAACTATCTACTGCAAAGGGGCTGCTGTGGGGACAGAGTGAGACAACCCATAAACGCGTCTGACACACGGTGCCTCGTCGATAAGCGATAGCCGCTAATGAGCCGCTCAGATGTGCTCATCACATCGCCGAAGCGTTCTCACGGGTGGTAACTGTGGGAATCGTTGAACTCCTGTTTTTGTAATTATTTTGGAACAACTACTCCCTGCTCATTTTAACTGATCACTGTATCTCACTCAGAGATATCTAGCTTTGTAATGCCTGACAACCAACAGCCTTTTTTTCCTATTTCCCAGAAGGGTGGAGAGAAGGAGAGTTAAAGCTTCCAGTGTTTTGTTTTTGAAAATAGGAATGGAACCCCATTTTCAGTTAGTAGATACATTAAAAAATCTCTCGACTCTCCATGCACAGGATCTAAGGTGCTTCGGCTTCATCACCCATCGCTGATCAACCCAGACTGGAAACCTAACGTCCCACGTCCATGTGTTAGCCCTGTCCTGGGAGCTGAAGTTCACGCTGATGGCCAAGGCTGCAAAGGGCTGCCATCGCTTCCTGACCTGGCAGTCCGCAGCTTCCTTGGCTGCAGCACAACGGTGACTCGGTACTGAATCTTTGTTTTTTTGTGTTTGCCTTTGCACATCTCCAGTTGAGTGAGGAACGGTGGCAGCATCATAATTTTAGTATTAACAGCAGAGGCTCCAAATTTCCCCGTGATTGAAAAGCCTGCTCCACGGGGAGAAACGGCTTGCCTTTTGTAATCCGTCAAAGGGAATGGAAGTTCGGGTGGCAGGAAGAGACTTTTCATGTGTTTTCCAACTCACAGGGAGCTAGAGAGCTATGCATAATGCAACACGAAGTTCTCGGGGTGCTGGACTCCCCGCCGCGGAGAGCCAGCTCCGTGATAAAATTCTGCTGCAGCTAAAATCCTTCAGAAACTCACACAGTGTTCCCACGGCTTGGGGGAGGCCCGCGCAGGCGAGACGCACTCACTGTGTGCGGCCAGACAAACCTCCATCAGCAAGGCTGTGATGAGATCCCATTTCCCTCATGAAGCTGTTTTCTGTCACTCAGCATTGGGATGCTTACCATTCGGGCTCAGCCTCATTTACGGGGCAGTTTTTGGAGTTGCTACCAGGCGAACCCCTTGTGACTCCGTTGCCGTCAGATGGGAATTGCTTCGAGAAGATTTTTTAAAACTGCCCGCTGGAATAAAGATCGTTAAAGCCGAGAATCGCTGGACGCCGAGGGATGCCCGCTGGTATATGTTCAAATGTTGTGTTCCTCCTAAAGTTTCTTATTTCAGGTCCGAGCACCTGGCTTTTGGTTCTCTTCAGACAGCTGCAGAATCGAAGAACCCCATTCTGATCATGAAAAAAGCTACAAGTCAGCCACGAAACATCTTTCAAATGTGTAAGGAGATAAGATAGGAAGGCGAGCACTCATTTCTTGAGAGTGGGTTTCTCTGGGGTCCATGGGGGACGAGTCCAGGTAACAAGAGTCCATCTGACCGCAGCCCCAGCACCCGACAGCCACAGAAATGAGTCCGGAAAACCAAGGAGACACGTGTTGGCAGTTTTTTTTTTTTAATTTTTTTTTTATTTTAACGTCCCTTCTGAAGTGACAACTATTATGTAACAAACCTTTGTGCCTTGAAAACAGAACCCGGGAGCACCTCTCCCTGCTTCCCCTCCCCGGTGCGAGCCCACTGTCCCCTGGGCGCACTCCTCTGGCTGGGCGCCCCCCCCCCCCGGCCGCTGGTCTCCCTTCCTTTGCGACGGGGTTTGCCTGAGACCAAAGAGGGGCCGAGCGCCGGTCTCGTCCCTCTGTGTCTGCAGTGTCTTCCCAGGCCGAGCAATGTATGTTGCAGGAAAGAAAAAAAAAAAACACTTGTCTCCAAGAAGGTGTCTCTCACTGAAAATTCTCCTTAGGTCAGAGTAGGGTCTGGTCCCCTCCATAACGCTCCCCTGAGATATTATTGCTCAGAGGTCAGAATTCGTGGATGTTTTGTTCTCAGTGAATATTCTCTCTGTCCTGAGAGCGAGAGTGACACCGTGTACGCAGAGATGCCCTGGCCACACGGCCTTCCGAGAAATGCCAGCTGGGAGCTCAACTCGCCCCCGGGGGCAAAACTCATTTCACCTGTGGCTCCTGTCCTTCCTGTCCTTTTTCTCCCATCTTCCTGTCTTTCCAGTTCCTACGGGAACACCCGGCTTTGTCTTTCTTCCTAAGCCGCCTGGGGGCAGATGCGGATTTTTTGGGGGCGCTCCGTGAGGTGCCTCAGAACACGAGGAAGCCCTGAGAGGCTCCTGTGTGCCCAGCCGCGGGCCCCGGGAGTGCTTCCCTCCTCCCCCAGCTCTCCCCCACCCAAATCTGTTTTCATTGTTTTTACACAACTGCTTTTATTTCCAAATAAGAATTCATCTGTTTTCACAAGGGAGATAGTGTTTGTTTTAAAGGAATTCTGTGAAAATCAGGAGGATGAGAACCTAGTGGAATTCTATCATTTTTTCCTCCTCTTGTTTTTCAATCTTACTAACCCGCCCACCAGATAAATAGCTAAAGGGCGTGCAGTTAGGCTTAAGAAAGTCAGAGTGGTGGAGATCTCCAAGGTAGCCGCTGTGTTCTGAGAAGAGGAACGTAGGGCTCACAGCCACAACTTTGGAGAATCAACAAGAATCACTGAGAGGGCAGTGGAGGGGACAAGGTGTCTGCTTGCTTCCAGCTGAGAGGAACTATTACCCCTGTCATGGCGGACGGTTTGAACAAAGGCCCATCGGATCAGTGACTAGGTCTTCTTCTGGCCAGGCTGTGGCCCTGGAGCTCCAACTCCAAAAAGCCCAGCTGAAGAAGACGTGGGGGTTGAGAAGGAAAGTGAATGCATCCTGGTGCCTTCACTTCCAGCGTCCTGCCAGCCCTGGCCGCTGGTCCCCGGCCCAAAGGGCAGAAGGTACAGTCCCTTCCAGGAACTCTAAGGTGAAGGAGAGAAGACGGCCTTCACAGAGTTACACTGGGAAAGCGCCGTATAGACAATCCAATCGGAGGTAGCGGAAGTCGTCTTAGAAAAACAGAAGGCTCCAGGCCCTGAGTGTATGGTACAAACTTAACAGAGGTGACATTAGCAGAGTGACATACGTGAAGAATGGAAGAAAGAGGGGCGTCCTGAGGTGTCTGGCGGCAGGGTGGCCTCGCAGTGTCTCGGGAGGAGGGGTGGGTGACCTGGAAACTTGACCTTCACTGCTCTGTTGAGTTAGGGAGGCTGGCCCTGTGGCCGGATGCAGGTGTAGGATGCTTCAGCCTGATGTTATTAGCGTTCAAGTCATTTCAATGTCCTGATCCCGTGCTAACCAAGCAACCTTCTGATGACTGTCTGGCTTTTTTCAAGGAGACTTAATTACGGGGAAGAGAGTACACTGGCTGTGCGGACTTGAGTATTCTGAACACCGTAATGTTATTGCTTATTGTGGACCAGTGACTGGCATTTGTACACAATTGATCTCCCCACCCACAGAACTGCTGTCTCCCAAAGGAGAATCTGTTGATCGGACCGGGATGGGATCTCAGTGAAATGACAATGACGACAGCAGCTGGCGTCACGTGTGCTTATCATGTGCCTGCCAACACCTTGCATGTGTGAATTTGTTTCATTTTTATGACAACGCTAGGAGGTCAACACCCAGGTTCATTTCACAGGTGGGGGGACCCAATCACAAAGGGCTTGCCCGAGATCATCTCAGGGGGCTGGGGAAGAAACGGGGATTCGAAGAAAGAGGTGCTACCTGATATTCCACTGTGGGTGCTGCTGCCATGTAATATATGTAACCTGCATTGCCCTTGAAAATGCTAAGAGTTTTGAATTCCAAATCCCACCTGGCC